GCATTGAAATCGCACATTTTCACTATTCCGGACCCGTATCTCAGTTATGCATGGATGGATTTTGTTCAAATTTGGTACATACATTAAACATAATAGGACCTTGATGCACGTCTTTTTTTTTTTTCGGATCAAATTCGAAATGGCCGACTGGCGGCCATTTTGTTAAAGAATTCAGTTCTGGATCCGTATCCAAGACATGTCTGGATTGATCAAGTTCAAACTTCACACACACATGGTACATCATGTCACAAATAGATATGTGCATTTGTTTCATGATCTGCTTAACAATAGCGGAATGATGGCCATTTTAAGGCCGAAAATGCATCAAAATCACATATTTTCACAATTCCAGAACCGGATCTCAGTCATGCATGGATGGATTTTGTTCAGATTTAGCACAATGTGTTGTACATATGCAGGTGCATTTCGGTCATGATCTGCTTTGAATGTATATGTCACTCAAATATGAACGGAACGGGGACGTGTCATTGACAATGACTTGTTTATTTACATGAATACAACCTGCATACCTGTATGTGTTCATTTGTAACAGTGTGTTCATTTCTATACAGTGGAGGTCATTAGTCAGTACATCTCACAAGAGAAGCTTTGGTTTTTACCCCACCCTTGGCTGACTTTTCAACGAGTGATTTTTAATTTAACTCCTTACAACTGTTGAAGTTATGAAAAGTACTGGAGTTTACAATATGAATATGAATACAAGTGGAAACATACAATTTCCATATGAATACAAATGTACCTCATCATCTGCAAATGAATACAAGTGTGTTCTTGAATATGTTGGTCAACGATTGAGGAAATACAAACGTAATTTTATGTTGATTGCTGTAGGTAAAAGACCCGAATGATTCTAATAGTGATAGTAGCAGTACTGGCAGCGGTAGTACATCAAGTGATTCTGATTCTGATATGGGTCAATCAAGCAAGCAGGAAGCAAAGAAAACAACAAACGGTGAATACAAGGTAATAATTTTATGACATGCTTCTCCACTGTACCATCATTAGTAGTGTAAGGTGCCGTCATCTCCATCTACGGTTAAATTCATTGTGGCTCAGCACAAATGCACTCTAAGCAACAATAGCCATGATGTTCTCAGTAGTAGGGACATAAACCCAACTAACTTCTTTCCTCAGTACTATGTACTTCCTCAAAGTAATAGTTCTTTCATTGTTTTTCTCTTTCATAATGCTGTCAGCCTCCTGAGTCTGAGTGCAAGGAGGATAAGGTGAAAAAAGTCTCTAAGCTGGAGGCAGGGAAAGAGCTTGAGGCAGAGATAAAGCCTGGGGCGGAGAATGTTGAGACAGACACATCCAAGAAAGAGGTGTCCAATATCTCCCGCTCCGTTGTATTAACTTTATCCAATATGTTTTGATCCCAATATAGTTACTTGCTGATTCCATGTTTTGTTTTTTGTGTCTTTCCTACATTCTATATTCTAATCTGTTCTCATCTAATTAACTCAACTATTTTCTAGTTTCTGACACTTTTTGTGTCTAATCAATAGTACACTATTTTGCATGCTCTTTTCTCTTCCTTCTATACTCTCCTTCCTTACGTGTAACCTTAACATTTGTATTTCCTGAATTTCTGCACTTCATGTTCTCTGTTCTCATGTGGCTTTTGCAAGTATCTCACAAAATTAGCTGAAAATTTTGTTTAGCTGATTGTCCAGTAATGCTGCTATTTTCTTTGCTAATCCATAATAATTGTTTTCCAGCCCAAGGATATACCTGATGCTGTTTGTGGTATCTGTTTAAAAGGCAAGGACAGTAGTAAGAAAAAATTCTCAGAACAATTAGTACACTGCTCTCAATGTGACAATAGTGGTAAGTTATGTTTTCCTATATTGTAGGCAATAATAATATATGATGTACATATTTGTCTGTAGTAAAATGAATAGGTGCATAGTTGAGTGTGTACATAACATTACTATAATTGCTCACAGGTCACCCTACATGCTTACAAATGAATGATTCTTTGGTACATGTGATCAAGACATATCCATGGCAGTGTATGGAGTGCAAAACATGTACATTATGTGGTGATCCTACACATGAAGTAAGTATTGCATATGTTATTTATATGTATGTACTTGTATGTAAATAAGATTTATTCAATTTATATACTGGTATATTTGTACCTATCTTTCTTGACCTGAATACTGTTACATTCTAACAGTGTCAGCAATAAACAAAACAGATAATGATATATGATAATATTAAATAATGCTTCTTTCATTACAGGATAAAATGATGTTTTGTGACGACTGTGACCGTGGTCACCATACATTCTGTGTCGGACTCAAGAGTATACCAACAGGTAAGCTAACAGTATTCACATTAGATGAGTACAGTGCAATAAGGTATGCACAAACTCATTTCTATATTTATAATTATCTAAAAAACAGGGATTGGGTTAGATCTGTCTGTTCATCTGGTCTCATTCTTAGACAAATGTGAATCAAACATGGCACAAAAACAAAATCTTAGTTTTGTGATTTTGTGAACTCAAGTGCTAAAAGTTCCCACCCAAATCAAGCATTTCTACCAATTTGTAACCAGATCTTGATGAATGTCATTTTATGAATCTCATGGCATTCTAAACCATATTATAATTGAATTGCACGGTCTGATTAAAATTTAATATATCATGGGACACTCATGTATGCGTGTTTGTTTCACAATCTTATTCATCTCACACTGAGTATGTTTTTTGACTCCCGTGTGCGAAGCACAAAAAGGGAGTCTTTGCAGTTAGTGTGTCTGTCTGTGTGTCTGTTCCACTGAGAACCATACATTGATTTTTGATGAAACTTGGTGCATAGATGCTCAGGGCCAATGCACAGATTTGCTTAGGTTTTGGTAAAAATCTGTGCAATATTAATTACTGATACCTCAAGTACTAATCATCACATTTCAATAAAACTTGGTACATAGATATCATAGGACACTGCACAGACCTGATAGTTTTTAGGGTAATATCAGTACATATTAATTACCCAATTTGCATAATTAATTAATGTTCAGCTTTTGATATTTCAAGTAGTAATCATCACATTTCAATGAAACTTGGTACACAGTTACTTAAGGACTGTGCAGAGACCTGATTAGAATTGGGGTAAATATTTGTGCACATTAATCACCTTATTAGCATAATTAGTTAATTTTCAGCTTTTTGCCTGATAACTGAAGTACTAATCATCATATTTCAATGAGACTTGCTACATAGATCCTCTAGGACTATGCAGAGACCTGATTAGTTTTAGGGTAAATAATTGTGGATATTAATTACCTAATTCGCATAATTAGTACATTTTTTCTTTGAATGTTCCACTGATATATAAAAAACCACTAATTGGATTTTAATGAAACTTTTATAGAGTATTCATCATCAATGAACCTAGGACTATGCAGAGACCCAATTAGTTTTTGGTAAATATTTATGCTAATTAACACTGATATCTCAATTACTGATCATCACATTTGACTAAAATTTGGTACATAAATGCTCTAGAACAATAGACAAGCCCGATTAATTTTGGGTTGAAATTTGTTCATATTAATTCTCTAATAATAATTCATAGTTTTTTTGTTCTAATCACATTTCAATGAAACTTGGTACATAGATATTACATTACGCAGGCCTTATTAGTTTTACACTCAAATCTGTTCATATCAGTTACCTGATTTACATAATTAGTTTTCAGCTATTCTATCAATATCTCAAGTACAAGTAATTTTGAATTAAATTTTAATGTGTCTTCATACTCTCGGCACACAGGAGTTCTTTCTAAGCTTTCTTTGATTTTTAGTTTCTCCTACACAATGATTTGATGATACAGTTCAATAGTTAACATCTCTGACAACCAATCATGCTTCTGATTTAGCTCTCACTTTTCAATGTGTAATTCCTGCTGCAAATGAGTAGTGTAACACTCAATCCAGGGAAGAATATTATGTTTACTCCCTAGGCCAGTGAATAATGAATATTCCTTTACTCCCTAGGTCAATGGACATGTGAAAGCTGCAGAAAGGACATTTCATCTACACCAACAACTACAAGATCAGGTAGAAAAACCGGTCGTAGGAAATAACAGAAATAACACTCTGCTTATTTATTTATTAGTTTGACATCTCAATGTTTTAAGGATTGTGTCTTTGTACTTGTTGATATGTACTAATCATTGGAATGAATAAAATTAGATTTCTTATTTGTCAATTTTCTGAATTGATGTGAACAAATAAAGCATATGCACACATCAAACACACACAGGTCTCCCATGAAAGGTTAAACCATATTCAGTTTAATTAAAACGCAACCCTATATATATATGTTTTCAATTAAATTGGAGTTGTATTGTTTATTAATTGATGTTAAATAAATACACTAACTTGAATTATTTTGATATTGTCTAAATTCACTATGTTCAATTACCGACTATTTTGAACTGTAGGCATTAATCAGCGATTCTGCCAATGACGGAGAGATAAAATCTAGGTAAGGGGAAGCCCCATGAGCCCAAGATTTTTTCCCTTACGTCACGAACCACGTGACTGAGGTAATGTGGCAACGACACCTCACCTTGACCTTCACTCTTTCTTTATCTCCGCATCGCTCTGCCTGGAAAGCCTGCCTGCGGTAGCTGACACTGTGGCTGGTAGGATAGGTTTTTCTTATTCTTTTACCCCCGTGTCAATTTCCCCCTTTGTGTGTATAATTTTTCACAACAAAGAAAATAAAACCTGGCGACACAATTAACCAGGTCGTTGGTTTTATTTGCGTCATCTTTTCCAACTGTATTTCGCTTCCCTCATGCATGTTGTGTTCATTTTATGCTTTACCAATGTGTTTAGATATGGATAAATGTAATGACAGCACCAGAGGCTCGCCGCCGGTTTTGTCTCCTCGTTTTTGAAGCGATTGTGCAGTAGTTATAATCAGAATTTACCAGCATAGAACCCACATCGGAAATGCTATTTTCCAGAGCCATGCAAATCGCTGAGACTGACTGCGCCGCTAGTATTTTCACAGCAAGGTCGCGCATCCAGTAAAAATTGGTTAAAGTGTGTTGCGTGTTGGCATGAGTGAAAAGTCCTCAAGCTCGGCTACCGATACTTTGTGTACTGAGACGTCGAGTAGGAGGCCCAGCGTTGGAGGTACTGATATTTTTGGATCTCCCCCGCTGATCAGAGGGCATCCTCACAGTCTGTTGTTTCAGGCGATGGTTTACCCGATTTAGTCGGCTACAGCGAGGGTGTGCCCCTGGTGGTGTTTCCTCCTATTAGGCCCGTTGCGGGTCCCTTTGTGGATCTGTGCTCGCACGGCACCGGGTTTGCCTGTGAGATGAGAGCTTTGGTCGAAGGACTGTCGGGGCAAATTGCGTCCCTGGCAGGCCAGGTAGATCAGATGCAGTCGGAGCGAGCTGTCTCCACTTGCGGCCCCACAGTCGGCAAGCAGGAAGAAACACAAAAGCATCGCTCGCATTCAAAACATGTCTCTTCCGGGGAACCCCCGTTCCCAGCTGCGACTGTCCCGCTGATTTGGGTGAGGCCGAGGCTCAGGCTAGTTGCACTGGCTCTCCTCTGGGACCTCAGGCTGGTAGCCAAGCCTCCGATTGCGGGTCAGGGCACACGTTGTGTCTCCCCCCTACTTTCAGCCAGCCAGCGGTACCGGACTCAAGAATTTACCCTGGAGTCCGGGCTCCGCTGTGGGTTTTGACTCCCTTCTTGCTGACCCACGAGCGATGCACAGTCGAACACGCTCTCGCTCAAATATTAAATTGAAAGGAGACAGTTCACTCGCATCAGATACAGCCGGTACCTTGGGCGGTCCCTCAGAGTCTTCCATCCGTAACGACTCAGTGAGCCACGCAGTTGGGGTGATGTGGAGTATCATCGATCCTAGTGATACGATGTATATACCCCCACCCTCGATCCTAAGGCAACCACTTACTGTTGCTTCAACACTTATGGGATTACAAGCGTCGGGATCCAAAGCAACCCCATCGGCACGTCTCCCTCTGTCCGGCCGAGTGCTGAGTGGGGCGCAGGGTGTGCAGACGGTGTTGATGGGCGGACATTGGTCAGCTGCAGAGGAGGTAACGATTAAGGCCCCGGGTGGGGTAAATCTTGTGCAACGCTGGACCAAATGCTACCCGGTCGGTGTGGTTTCGGGATCAGACCCCAAAAGGTGGGATGACAAAACTCCCCCAACCAGATCCCAAGGCTCATTCCCCAGACCCCGGTACCGCGAATTTCTGTTTTGGGGACGACCGCATTCCATGGGCATTCTTGCCAGCTCAATCCGAGATGATACATCACACCCTGAAGGCAGAGTTGCTGGAACGCATTATTGTGCACGCACAGGACTCAGTGGGTAGTCTCCAGGCTGTTTTTCGGCTGTGGGACGGTCCAAAGATAGACCTGTTTGCCACACCCCGGAACGCCAAGCTCCCGACGTACATAACACTCCTGCCGACGTCTGGGCCAGGGATGCCTTATCAATCCTGTGGCCCCACATAGATGTGTACGCCTTTCCTCTCTTCCCGCTAGTTCGTCAGGTACCAGAGAAAACTTCAACAGGTGCACACCTGCATATTGACACTGGTCGCACCCAATTGGCTAACTAAGGCCTAGTTTCCATGTCTGTTGGAAATGCTAGTCGAAACACCAGTAGTGCTTCCAGACCTGCTGTCCCAACCGGACGGCTCACTTCCAACGAGCCCAGCAGTGTATCTCTTACACGCATAGAGGCTCTCAGTAGACTCGCACAGACAAAAGTCTTGTCTGAGCGGGCTGCCAACGTCCTGGCCAAGGCGAACAGGGATCCCACCAACGCTGCCTACAATTCAAGGTGGCGAGCATACACTGATTGGTGTAGCGTAAGGGAGATCGATCCATGCAATCCCTCTATTGGCCAGGTAGCAAACTCCTTCGTCCACCTGTTTGACGAAGTGGGTTTGTCCTATGCAGTGATCGTTGACTACAGGTCGGCCTTGTCCCCCTCCATTGAGAACGTATGTATAATATAAGAAGAGTTTGCACATGGCAAATTGGATGTTAAGGGAGTTAATATTCTCAATTTAGGCAGAGGGTTCTCGGAACCTGCCCATTCACATAGTTCACACCCACCATAGACTCCTTGCCCCCCCCCCCAACCACCCCACTCTTTCCGTAGCGTTGGTCTAGTCCTCGATGCGGAGAGAAAGGAACCAGAGTGAAGGTCAAGTTGAGGTGGCGTCGCCACATTACCTTGGTCACGTGGTGCGTGACGTAAGGGAACAAAATCTTGGGGTCATGGGGCTTCCCCTGACCTAGATTTTATCTCTCAGTACATTGGCAGAACCACACATGGCCACCATAAGTGGCGCCCTCTAGTGTCCAACCTGGCTTGGCAGCCTCAGTAGACCTACCAACAGAGTTTGCTCCTTCACCAATCGCAAGACTAATGCAATAATTTATTATAGTACCAAATGTGACCATGGCTTGAAGAATATAACCAATTCCTGTTAGAATGCATAAATTACCAAATGACACATCACAAATCACTGATCCTTAATTCAAAATAATTGTTGCAAAACTAGAACGCACACTGAAACATGTTGTGGTAGAAATCGGACTAGTATAAATGCTAACGGAAAGAAGTTAGTACCGCAGAATTTATGCGTCAGCAACAGCCATTTAAACTATATTGACACAGACAGCCTAGTGAAAAATTAACTAATTAATGTTGATAGTGGATCTACTAAGGGTACCTGGCCAAGTAAGCCACAACCTCCAGAAAGAAGAGTTTTAGATATCAAATCAATACAAATAAGTTGTTCGTAGTCAGTGACAATGACATACCAGGTAAACTAAAAGTATTTTGAAGCTTTTATATCGAGGCTTTCTTTTTCCGTATGAATGCAACATGCACACACTTCAGATAAAATACATTTTTATGCAAAATAAATAACAGTATAAAATAACATTGGGTAAAATATGTACATTCTTGTTTTGATGTGTACTCTGCCAGTATCTGGAGTTTATTTTGTATATTAGCTATTCCATTGTGTTAAAGGTGTTATTATCTGTCAAAAATATATGTAGTAAAATCAGGCATGAATTGGACATGCAACACTGTCTCAAATTCTGCTTTAGAACATGCCCACCACAACTAACCTAGGAAGTATGTTTGCTTTGACGCAGTGACAATGGATGCTATGAAATATTATATAAATGTATAAATTTGAAAAGGAAAGGACAGGAAAACTTAAATTGAGAAGTGGTTATTATCGAACAATTATGTAGGTGCATATAGTGTTTTCCTAAATGTCTACACACTATAAACA